AGATCTCGTACCAAAACTGAAATTTCTGAATCTTTAGGAAATGGAGATTTTTGAATTCTCCTTATTCCTTTGATGTTACTTGAACGTATTAGACTTGATTTCCAAGATGAAATCTCGATTACTTTTGTGCTTTAAAATCCCATCTTTGAACCCCGATTTACGAGTGATTGGGATTCGTTTTCATGGGATTTTCTTGGATTGTGCACTAAGTACAATCTTTGTAATAATTCGGGTTTTTGAGTGATAAATCCTTATTAATTGCTCAGGCACACAAGAGAAACTTCAAAAGGATCCCACGGTGGACGCTTGAATTTCGAGTGCCGTTTCTTCTTGTTTACGTGATGAGTGTCAAGTGTGTGTTAGTTGAACTACTGTGAACCAGATACATGTTTACTTGTTGTTGATACTTGAGATTTTAAAATTCGAGACGGGGGTGTACTTTATCGCACCCTTTCTCGCTTGAAATAAATGACTCGCACTTGAAATACTCGAATGTCTCAATTGCTTGCACATGTTACTTGCTTGTTTGATTTGAAATAGTTTGCTATGGCTGCATACGTCATTGGAGTGATTCTCCTCGACACTCAAACATGCTTGGCGAACCTTGGGCTCGAGCCGGCATGGGTTTGGTCGGGCTCCTTGGTAAACCATGGAAAAAATTGAAAAGCTTGATCTAGTGAGAGATCCTGCTTGGCATACTCGAGTAGTATTGCCTTAAACAAATGACAGGCGGGCCCGAAACAGGGGTATGTAAGGTGAAAGGGGACAGGTTAAGTGGAGTTCTACGGATTAAACCTACCCGATTGACGGAGTGTCAACTCGTGGAGGTTGTTGATCGTGCAAGTAGAACATAACTCCTGAGAGCTCCAGTATCCTTGAATTGTTTATGGTTACTTTCCTCATGAATTGTTAATAATGGATACATTATTGCTCGACTTGTCAATTTGGAATTGTTACTTGAATAATGTGCTTGCATGTGTGCTTTTGGCCTCAAGAGCGTTTTGCTCACCTTGTAGATTTGTTTTCCTTAACAGGTTTGGGTTTGGAATGAAACTCGGAGGAAATTTCTATTTTCGAGTACTTTTGTGGACTTTTGTAATAGGGTTCCAATTCTATTGACTAGATATTTTGGTTATTGTATATTTTGGGATGTATTTGGAAACCCGTTATATGGATTTGGTAATTGTTAAATATTGTTAACCTTGAACGCTTTCGCACTAATTGTATTTATATTATCTGGGTGTGATGTCTAGTACCGTTATAAGCTTGAACGTAAATTACTTGAGTCCTGGCGAGAGCTGGGCAGGCGTTCCGCGGATACCCTTTGGTTCGCCTTAGGGAGAAGTGGGGGTGTCACAGAATCAGGCTTAGGTCAAAACATAAAAGTTGTAGAGAATGGAGTTAGGAAGCTTCCTGTAACATTTTAGCTCAATCCGAGCACTGTAGCATGTTACATGGCTAAAATACCCCTGACTGTCAAATGTTCTTGTCCGCGGACAGTTTTGAGATTTCACATTTCTGGCTTCATTTTTCACTTTGATCCGTATCAAATCAGCATTTGGCCAAAACATGAAAATTGTAGTCCTATTTTTCAGTTTTCCAACGCATCTGAAACGTCTCAATCGGACTTTTGTAGCCTGAGTTATTGCTATTTGAATTTAGTGCTGACAACCAGACTGACAATGAAATTTTGGTTCTGTAATCTGCAAATTCGACCTGGATCGACTGTGAACTGGGTTGAGTTGTCTTCATGAAAGTTGTAACTGTTAGAACCCGAGAAATTATATGCATGTCCTAAAATTATTTTATTTTATGTACTGTGATATTAGAAATATTAGATATAACGAATGAATGGTTAAATTAAATGTCTAATTGAATCCCTATAAAATTGAGAATTAGAAAATAAATTCAATAAGTACATGTCTAGAAGTGTAGAAAAATTTTATGAATTAAATAAATATATGACGTGTATATCGTAAATCGTGATTAATTGCGAATATTACTAGACATGTAACATACACTAAAAATTTAACAAGTACATGTCTAATGAGGTTTTCTTAAAGTTAAATGTGTCAAAATCAATGTAAGAAAATTTTTCCGAAAATACGAATGAAGTAGGAGTTCATACATGAAATCATAAAATTTTAGGCCTTAGAGAGTAATTAAACTACAACTAAAAGACCATACTAACCTTAAAAGTCTAGACTAATTACCAAGCGGCTATCACACAAATTATCAGAATTTAGAAACCAACCAAGAGAAAGGAATACATTTCATTGAACCGAATGCTAGCCCTATTAGATTAAGCGGTGGAAATGAAATTTGGGGCAGTGAAATAAGACAGCTGCCAGGAGGGAAATGTTTCTAAGCTAGCTGAGTAAGCATCGACCGAATGAGAGAGTAGCTTAAAGACATGAAACTAGCGGACTGAGAGCAAAAACAAACAAAAGATGATTCCTTTCTTGCTTTCTTCCTAAAGCAGACTCAAGTCTGAGGGAAAAGAAAGTGAAGCTTCACCATTAGCTATCTATACGAACGAAAACAAAAGGGAGGTCGAGTGAGGAGTTGTGATAGCAAACTCGAGCAGCCTGCAACACCGAGTGAAGAAGATTGAGTGATCAGCCGAGCGAAGAAGTACACCTTACTTTTCTTCATATCAACCAGACCTTAAGAGCAAGACCGAGAGAAACTAAGACATATTTCTCTCATCTCAGTACACAATCAAAAGGGAGAAAAGGAAGCATTTCTGATTTCCTCTTGCTTCCAGTGCAACCGAGAGAGTGAGGAGGAGAGAGTTAGACAGTGTTAGTTGCATTCATCCAGCTTGTGACCTTAGAACCATGAGCCAAGAGTGAGTACAAGAGGTGAAACCAGTCTGCAATTCACGCATCAACTGCATCAGTGAGGGAAATAGGGTAGAGCTGGTGCAAAAGTTAGAAAGACCGAAGCTACGAGCATGAGCAATCTGCAACTATTAAAACTTAATGGAAAAAGGTAAGAATCTTGTAACCACTCTTTCATTTCTGGAATATAACTGAATATATGGGCTGCATGTTAGTTTTTAGCAAAGAATAATAAGTTTTAACTGAGGAGAAATCTGATAAAGGAGTGAAATTGAAACTGGACTGAATCTGTTGAGCCTTGAGCTGAAAATAAAGAAGGAAACTTGCTGGAAAATGTTGTATTTTAGTGAGGGAATAAGTCTTAGCTGAGCATAACGTTGCTAAGTAACTGACTAAAAAGAGAGAGGAAAAGAAACTAGCAACCGAGAGGAGTAAGCTGGAAATGATAGAAATAGCTGCTGGAATTCTGTCCACTTCAACCGAGAGAAGGGAAAGAAACTTACCAGGTTTCCTTACGAACGTTGGCTCCAAAAATTCCACCTTGAGACCTGATTTGTTGCATAGTATTTTAGCTGCAGCTTGCTTGGAAGATTTATATCTAGATAGAGAAACTATGAAAAGCTTCCTATTGCATAACTAGCTGCTGCAGGAATCCCTTCCAATATTGGTCGAGAGAAGGCCTAGTTCAGCTATTGTTTCAGTCCATTAGCTTTAAACTTTACGTTGCCGTAGGATACTGTGGCCAAAGTTACCATTTGCATGATAAGTGGGAGTAAGGAAATGAAGAAAATGAGAGGGACCGTTCTGCATTTGGAATGGCTGAACCGTAGGACTTGCTTGTGACTGAAATTTCTTAACAAAATTCTGCTCCTTTCTTGCTGAATTAACTACGAACATTTGGACTGCTACATTGCTTGAGGATGTCATGAAGAAATTCTTGCTTAAAAGCTGTGGGTTGCCAAAAAAATTATCCATCATGACCATGGTTCAAAGTCGCGGTCGCGGTCGCGGTCGCGGTCGCGGCCCGGAACGTTCCACATCGGTCTCGGCATATCGGTCACGGTCTCGGTGAGACGCAAATTTTAAAGCATTTAATATTCTAAAAACTGTTAATAATATAAAAAAAAGTATGCTAAACAAAAATAATAAAAAATAACAAAAGAAAATTTGTAAAATGTACTATTTTTATACATATTACACACGATAAGTACTTTTAATTATTTAAAACAATGGCATCACAGATAAAATCAAAATAACATAGACCACAATTTTAAAACTAATAATTGCAAAAGTAATATCAACCATTAACAATACAAACTAAAGATTTATTTATAGCATAAAGTTGGAATATTTTGATCAATCTCCTGCCAAAAATAAAAAGAAATCATATTAGATAAAAGGTAAATATGTAAAAAGATATACTAGTACTTTATATTTTCGTACCTGTTAATACCAAGTAGAATGACGATGTGGTTCAAAATCATCGTGATTGGTCGATGAATGGTAAAACAGATGTGGAAGTGGCATAGGACCTTGAGTAGGTAGTGTAAACGAGTTATCTGGTGTATTTACTGGATGTGAGGATTGACTAGATGTTCCATAATCATTGGACGGAAGAACTTCTGGATTGGAGATGATTTGTTGATGGTAGTATCCAAACCCTCGATAGTTAACACTATCGCTGGTACCATATGATGCAGTAGAATCATGACCATAAAATCCAATGTTATTGGAATCAAAAGAAGAACCATCATGAGACTTATCTATTTCTTTTTCATAGTATCCACTACCATGAATGCTAGTAGACCTTTCAACCTGTCCAGGTCTGTCAAATGGCCGATATCCACTGTAATTGTCAGGAGTGATTCCATATGATTGGTCATAGCCATATCCCAATTGACTAGTACTACGGTTTTGATTAGATTCATGCTCATAAGTTGAGTATATACCCAAATTTTGTATCTGATCATTGACTCCTCTATATCTTTGTGACCCTGAATGGTGAGAGAAAGTATTCTCACTTGAAAATTGAGTTAAATCATTGAGGAATTGACGTTGTGCTTCTATACCAGGACGATAGCCATGATCAGTATCTTGAGTGGCATAATAATTATCTTGTCCTTGAGCCCATGACATACCTCCTGCTTGTTGGCTATCTCAATTGTAACCACTATGCTTGGAAGAATTGTTCCCTCCATCTCCATTGTCACCATTGTCATCATCATCATTACTGTTGTCACTTTTATTTGAAGATGACGGAACAGTCTGCTTACTGGTTTGTTTAGTCTTACTTTTTTGTTTCCTACTTGAGGATGCAGCAAGACCTTTCTTATTTCTTTTGGTAATATATTGGGACAATGTATCACCAAAACCATCGTTGTCATGTTCTTGATATTCACTACTTTCTGATTCAGTTTGATGAATGCCCTTATCCAACCAATCCAGATTATCTTCAGGCAATGTGGGTTGTTCATTTTCTCTTATCCAATCATCCAATATATCATCTTGGTGAAAAATGTGATTCAAGTCAATTGGGTTGTAGAAATCATCAGTATCTCTTTGATGCATCAAATTTTTCACCTTCAATCGCATATTGTAATGCACAAAAACTAATTTATGCAATTTTTTAACTGCCAAACGGTTGCGTAGTTTTGTATGAATTAATGACCATGTACTCCAATTTCGCTCACAACCAGAGGATGTGCAGGTTTGACTCAATATTTTCACTGTAATATTCCTTAAATTAGGCGCATCTTCACCGTAGTTAAGCCACCATTCAGCTAAACAAACAAAGTAATAATAACATTCATTTATTATTATTATTTTAATATTATAAAAATATTAACTTCATTTATATGATTTGGATGTTTATGTAAGTATGAATTAAGTTGAAACCTGGTAAAGATTTTGGTAATGCTCTTGCTGCAATAGCACTTCCAAAGCCTCCCTTTTTGTCTGCAAAAATTTTGATCTACAAAAATAATGTATACACAAGTGTTAAAATTTTAAAATTTGTTGATTAATATAAATAAATAAAATAATCAAAAGAATACCTCATTTATTGAATCAACTTGTGCATCTAAATTTGGCTCCAACTTTGCAATGACGTTCTTTAACCCTCTTCGAACTTCATCCAGATTAAACTCACAAGTTCCAGAATATTGAAGGATCGGGTTCAAAAAATATGCTAAATACAATAAAATAACAAAATTAGAAAATAAATAAATAAATAAATAAATATTACATATTTAAATTGGATGTAATATTTTAAATTACCTGCCGCATGTAAATCCCGATGAAGTTGATTGTACCATCTATTATCAATCACTTCCCAAATTGTTTTCCAAGATTTCACCGACTTTTGAATAGCCATTTTTGCTCTATCCATTGCCTCATAAATAATTGGCAATGTTGGCTTATTATCTTGATCAATAGTTTTTAAAACTTTGACCAGAGGCTCCATTATTGCACACACATTTCTAACTTTTTTCCAAAACTTCTCTGACAATATCAACTCAGCTACTTTAATAGCTTCTGCTTTTCTCTTGGTAGTGTTATTAAACTCTGCCCATTCATCTGAGGTGCACATTCTTTTCAGTTCTGTACAATGCCGAAGAAGACTTTCCATAGAAATGAATTCAGTTGCAAATCTAGTGATACCTGGACGTAGCAGTTCCCTTTTTTTTGTATATGTCTTCATCAGATTCACTACTTTGTCACTGTTATATATGAAACTTGTTATCTTCTTCCCCTGAGCAATAGTTTCTTTTACATTATCCATTTTGCCAATATCCTCCAACATCAAATCTATACAATGCGCAGCGCAAGGTGACCAGAAAAGATTTTTTCTTTTTTTCATCAACAGTTGTCCAGCAGCTTTCATACTAGATTCACTATCTGTCACAACTTGCACAACATTTTTTTCCCCCACAACCTCTACTACCTCATCCATTAACTTGAAAATATATTCAGCAGTTTTCTTAATATTGGTACAATCAACTGAACTATGGTATATCATGTGCCTATCACAGTATACCATAAAATTTATTATTGGATGTTTTGTACGAGTGCTCCACCATCACACATAAGTGTACAACCAAAAGTTGAAAATTTATCATAAATATCTCCAAGATATTTCTCAAGCTCTTCAAATTCTTCATCTAAATATTCATTTCCAATTTGATAAGCTGAAGGGCCTTTAATACCAGAACCAGCTTTGGCAATTTCATCAATCATCGATTGATAATAAGGATTGTCAGCTGCATGAAATGGTATAGCATTGAAATGAAAAAACTTTGAAACTGCCTTACCAACTCTTTTTATATTTTCCTTCGCAAACATTGATTTGACTGATTTTTGTTTCGAAGGAAACATATGTGAGTCAATTCCTCTGCTTGTCATTTCATCTGCTTGTCTGACACTGAAATTACGTGACAATCCTCTTTTATTTTCAGAAGTCGTTGGGTTTGAAGTGCCAACACCCATATTCCCTAAAATTCACAATATTTAACAAATAAAAAATGAATGACTAAATTGCAACTTTATGTAATTATATTTAATAAAATAGTATCAAATTTGTTATAATATTTTAGTTTACAAATCATACCTGACATAAACATAGAAGGTCGACTCCCAGATACCGAATGCCTTCGTTGTTCGTCTAAAAATTGCAAGTATTGGCTCTCTCTAATTGCTTGCTTCATTTGTTTTTTTTCCAACGCCATCCGACTTTCTTCATCAATTTCAAAAAAGACTTCGTCCTCCTCGTCGCCAACCATGTTGAAATTACCATGCATACTTTCTTGTTGGAAAGAATTCAATATTTCTTCTTTTTTCTGTTTTATTGTAGCTCTTTGAATCTTACCAATCTTTAGATGCATTTTCATTAAATCTCTAACTTCACTTGAGGCCCTTGGACAAGGCTCAACTTGTCCTATGACATGACCGACATGTTCTTTCAACCTTGTAATGCCACCATGCATTATTTTTCCACAATAATTGCATCTCACAATTTTTCTATTCCCTCCCACGGGTTTACCATGTTCCCAACCAATATCCTTGCTCGTCATTGTAACTATTACACATATCAATATAAATGGTTAATACATCACAAAATAATTAAAGATATATGAAAAAAAAATACAACAAGCAGTTTCTAACATTTTATAATTATAATAATTTATTTTTATTATATTAGTAAGTTAAACATCTAATCTATAATGTAAACCTGCAACAATGATCATTTTTTCATTTATTATAAGAACTTCGGCATTTTGTTTGTTGATGGGTGATTAACTTAAACATATAATTTAGCTCTCCATCTTCCTATAGTTTTTAGTTCATGATCATGATCACCAGGATGATTATGTATTATAATAAGTTGGAAGATAATACTAAATGTCCCTCTCTATTAGCACAAAAATATACACGTACAGTGGAAGCAATTCTCATATCTCTCCAATTTCTTTGTTAACCATCATCATATATATATATATATATATATATATATATATATATATATATATATATAACTACACATGATTTTTCACTCACTTTGCAACCTAGTCGTCCAAGAATTACAAAAGTTTTTGTTTTATACATAAGGATTACTAAATTTAAAGAGGAAAAATTATTCTTGGAAAAAAGAATAATTTAGTAAGCATCGCAATGGATTAGTAAGCAAAGTACAAATCCAACCTCCAAGATTGCTAACCATTAAAAAGCCGGTAAAAAGATGCGATTTACTCACGCTTTGGAGTCACTTGTGAATGCAGATTGCTAATTTCCACCTGGGGATACCTATCAGCAAGAGGGAAGAGTAGGATGGCCAGCTATTCAACAACCTAGGCCCCCAAGAATTCCCTACTGGCATCAACTGAACAACACATGAGCAAAGCAATAATGTCGTGATTGCCCTCAGATGAGAATCCACCACCTCATTCTAACTGTAAACAAATCCACTCCATTTCTTTCTGCTTCCCTTTCACCCAAAACCTTGGGACTCACCTCCCATTTCCCCTCCCTCGCTTTATTCATCTCTTTACTGCTATTTAGTCTACACATTACAAAACCATCAGTACTTATGCCCCCACTCTCATGAAGACTGAGTACGATGGGAGGTTTTTCTATTATTCTATTAACTTGATGAATCCTGAAGCTACCACTACTTTTGTTATTAATTGATGAACACTCTATCCTAAACCAATCTGTATATTCATATCATAAGTGAAACGACTGTCTGGGAAAGCTACAGTTGGCCCTTGTAATGGATCAGTTTCTTTTAATAACTCTAATGTCTTAGAGCACCTTACAAGCAGAATATCTAAAGGTACAATAAGAAAATCAATTACCTGCTGAAGCTTGACAAGGCAAGGGAGAACAAGGCAAAAAGGACATGAATCACAACCATCTGGGTTATCTCTGTGAAGGTATGGCCAAATGACTCCATTGGGCACTATCTTTTTGCAACATTCTACTTTGTTTCAGAGGGCGGAATTCCAAAGCTCGGCAAGAAGACAGAGTTAAGTTACCATGAAGAAGAATTGAAGGAAACGGAAAGGATTACTACGTTCTGCAACACTACTAGTCCAATAATTTAGTAAAGTGAAGGTAGTATGTTTAACGTGGACTATTCAAGGTAGTACCTTCAAAGTAAAGTGAAGGTAGTACCTTCAAAGTAAAGTGAAGGTAGTACCTTCAAAGTAAAGTGAAGGTAGTACCTTCAAAGTAAAGTGAAGGTAGTACACCTCCAAGGTGGAAAAGAAAACGTATCTTTTCACGTGATAGTACTGTGGCAAATTTGTTTCTATTTCCCATCACTCGCATTTCTTTCCCCGTATGAAGGATCATTAGTACTACCTATGGTTCGATATAGGCAATAGAGAGGTCCTCGAATTTCCCTTTTTTAATTCTTTTTTTGCTTTTTTTCTATAGATTTTTTGTTAAATTCACCTTGACTCGGGATGACTCGGGGTGACTCGACCGTGACAACCCGTCGCGGTGACTTCTCGGCCGATTTCTCGGCGAGACGAGTATCTCGGTCGCGATTCGTCGCGGTATCGTCTCGGCCTAGGCCGAGACGGTTACAACTCGGCCGAGACGTCTCGGTCTCGGCCGAGTCTTCGAACCATGATCATGACCGAAAGAGAGAATTAAATTTCTGATTAGCCTTTCCTTCGAAACCTTAACTGTAAACTTTTTTGTGTGTGGGTTAAGGCTACTCGGTAGCTTGAAAACTATCTTTTGCATGACTAGCTGGAGTGAAACCTAAGAGATTGGGGAGGAAAGAAACTGCAAACCAAGCCGCTATGTCACTGGAAAAGTTAATGATAACACAACTGCTAATAGCAGATTTAGTGTGTTACTTTGATCGAATAAATTGTTGAACTTAGGTATTATTTTCACTAGTTTATGCTGAATCAAATGTATATTACGTATATAGTGTTTTAAGCAAGTAAAAATGGAGTTCTGCTGAAAATTGGAAGTAATATTGCTGGAATTTTTATTGATGGCCGAGATAACAATAGAATAAGTCCTATGGTGTTTTAGAGACTCCAAAGTAACTCGTTACAGCTATATACCTAAAATGGCTTATAATCACTTAAGCTTGTTTTCACAAGTATTTTAAAGACTATAAAACTTGAGAAGCTCGTGTAGTGAAATAAAATTTAAAGTGCACACAACTTAGGCTTCGGCTAGATAAAAGGAGAACCAATGGAGTGTTTCTAAGCTTGCATCTTAGGATTCTGAGTGGGAAATAGGTTACAACTAATTTAAATACCTATAAGATTATAACCTTAGAACATATGTATAATTCTTGGTTTAAATGATAAAATTAATAAGTTTCAAAATAAAATGAAGGATAAATAGTAAATAAAGAATACATATGTATTTCAAGGTCAAACTTGATTTTAATAGTTTAAATAATAAAGTAAGAATGATAAGTGATCACTTACGAATTATATATTTACCTTGAAATTATTAAATTGCCCCAGGAAGTAGCGGTGAGCCAGGAAACAAACTTGAGACTCGCGAATAGTTCATTGAATCTTTGGTGAGTGTTTTCCGAATTTATATGTTAAACTACTTATGTGTACTTAAGTGAAATTATGTGACAAATGTACGTATTATGAAATATTGCTAAGTGATCCTTTGCAAAGTGTATCTCAATTGTCCCTCGCCTTCTAAGTCGGGAGTGTACTTTATCGCACTCGGCTTAGTTGAGTTTGAAGGTTGATAATTGATCAAGTGATATTGTAAGTGTGCATGACTGTAAGCCGTGTGTATACTTTATCACACTAGCTAAACTGGGCCCCAAAACCCTCTGTTCAACGGACTATTTGAGCCAGCAAAGGGCTTGGTCGGGTAGGACGGTAGCTTTGGGTAAGTGTTCGGTATACTCGAGTATTACCACGGAGTAGCAGATTACTGATATTGATATGGCTATCCAAGTGAGGGAAGTGTTTATTGTTTTGGATGTTATAAGGAGGAGTTCAGCAGAGTGTGTAGTGCATTGAAGTGGCTCTAATGCGAGCACCGTATCCTTTTAAAAGTGATTGTTCAGTAAAGTGTTTCCTCAATTGCTAATGAAAGTGATTGTACAGTGAAATATGCACTACTTGCTTAATTGTACTGATTTAAGTGCTTATTGATTGTTGCTTGCATGGAAACCTCACGGGCGTAAGCTCACCCTTTTAGCTTTGTTTTCCTTACAGGAGTCGGAGATTGAAGAGTGATTGGATTGAACTAGAAAGTTATTTTGGGAAGATTTGTTATTCGGTGTATATAGTGTAGTCATGGTCTCTTTTGAATTTTGAGACGGTTGAATCTTTTGTTTGCGTTGTTGTGATATTAAGAATGGATATTTAGACAAATTTATTTCTTTAATTGGACAAATTTATGTTTCAAACTGATTCAAGATGTACTTAAGAGTGAATGTTCAGTTGTCCAATGGTAATGTTATTTTTGAAGTTAAAGTGAGTGAGTGAGTCCTGACGAGAGCCAGGCAGGCGATCCGCT